CCTGGGGGTCAGGAGTCTTGTCTGCTCTGGTGTCTTGTGCTTGGCCCATGTGACCCCTTTCCAGAAGGAGGTAGAGGCAGCCTTTTAGATCTCAGTTGCTTAAGGAAGATTTGCATGCTTCCCATTATAGAGGATAATTTATTAGAGACAGTAAATGAACACTGCACATGGTTTAAGTCCTTCCCTGTATCCCATTGCAGTGGCTTAACTGGGGAATTGACCTGGGAACCTTTAGGAGAGTTAGCTTCTTTTATTTCTTTACCTTCCCTCTAACCCAGCAGTCTGTAGTGGCAGAACAGAGGAGCCTTAGATGTGTATGTATTTAGAAACTTCCTGTGGCTTGCATATCATTTATTGTGCAGATCCTGACCAAGCATCACAGAGATTGTAGGGATAGGCCCTGCATTGTTGTCGCTAATAGAAACCTGTGCGGTGAGGGCTGGGGCTGCACAATCAGCAGCATTGCCGTGACAGTGAAGTGTGGCCTTATCAGAAGGGGGATTCATGAAAGGTTGCTCTGGGACACCACACCACTGTCCTTCTGTGTGTCCTGACAATGTTATCTGTCCTCTCAGTGCGGAGTATCAAATGTCTGTCATGAGTGCAGAAATTAATTTAATGTCACCTGAAGACATGCAATTAATCTTTTAGAGGTTTTCATAATACCTTTACAGAAAGAGTTGCCAGTTTGGCGGATTTGGATTTTGGGGTTTTAGAAAAAGATAAGGAAAATTAATTTTTCATCAGGGTTAATACAAGCTAGCAGGGCCACAAAGGCTGAGGAAAATGGTTGGGGAATTTGTCAAGTGTTGTCACTCCAGAATAATGCTGCTTAACGCCTGATAGGTATAATCAAGGGTTGAGATTTCTATGGAGAGGGATTAATCAATTTGCTTGCTACTGAATGCAAGTCAGTGATACCACTTCTTCATGGGGTTTAAGAATGAAAATAAGATTTGATCTGTCAAATTGGAAGAAGTCCTGACAGTATCAATAGGCATTTTTATCTGTACATTTAACCCATTTGTTATAAATAAATTTGTCCTGCTAATGTTGGTGGCTACAAACCTCATGTTTTTGTAATGATTAAGGTGATAGTGTCTCCTGAGCTTACTTAATTCAGATAGCGCCTCATAGATACTTTAAAAACCAAACACTAATTTAAAGAGGCACTTTACTGTATTCATTAAAAAGTGATCATTCATGGGAAAAGGCCACCAGTGAGTTTGCAGTTTGAAGGTGGCTACCTTCTTTCCCTCACTTGTTTTGGAGGAGTGGAAGATGATCAGAACTGCAGCCAAACACACTGCAGTGTCAGAGTTATAGGTCCAGTGCCCTCTGGAGAAAGTCTGTCTCAGCACACTGGTTTTTCTGGTTGTCCTCACCACGCTCATTTGCTTACATTCACATAAAAGCTTGTAAAATTCCCAGTTGGAGTCAGCAGTACTTTAAAATTTGCATAACTAAGTTCTGATAATTCTGGGTCGTTTGTCAATGCTGTAACTATGTGCATAGGTTTACGTTTTTGTCCATATGTGCATGAGCGTGGGTTTAAAAATGAATTTGTGGGTTGACCATGTCCTAGTGTTAATCCAGGAATTCAGAATTTCCCCTAGAATTAGCTTTTCATTATGCTAAGTTGAAAGGTAATGTGTGTTCTCTTAATTAGGAAATGCGTTTCAGTTTTTCTTACAAAATGAGATAATTTTGTTTGTATTTAAGCCTTTCATGCTCTTCAGAAAAAGCCTAAGCACAGCATGATGGTTACTTAACTGGAATGATTTCATTGACTGGTGCTTTATCCTTTCTGTTTCAGTTCTTGCTTAAAACTCTTAGGAAATATGCTAGTGTATGCTCCTCCCCAGGATGCAGTGTGCAGTCATATCTTTGGCACCACAGAGCTGTTCCCAAAAGGTTATGAGGTTCTCTCTAGTTTATGTATACTTGAAATTTTCCATGCTGAGACATTATTAAATTCAGTGACAGATCCATGTATAAGAGTGAGTAATCTACCCACCTTCATCTGGGGAAAGGGATGATGATAGAAAGTAAGGAGGGCTAAACCAGCCTTGCATTTCTGGGCTGAGTCTTACTTGGTCCTGGTGTGTGGCACATCTTCTGTGTTGCTGGATTGAGATTGCTAAGATTTTGTTAAGCCTACTGTTTGTTTGTTCTCCATGTATGCTTATGAGAGAGATTTTTAGTGATGTCTTTTGACGCCCATGGCTGTTTGGTAAGGGTTAGTGCCAACCTGAGCTTAGAGAATGAGCGCTACATATTTGGTAGAATTCACCAATAAGGCAGTTTGGGCCTGTGTTTTCTTTGTGCAGACATCTTCTTTATTAATTGGATAGCTTTACTTCTTAGAGGTCTATTCAGGTTTTCTTTTCTGTTTTGAGTGAGTTTTGGTGCCTGTGTCTTTTGTGGAATTGGTCTGTTTTATCTAAGTTGACTGATGTGTTAGCACACAGCTGAACTTCGTAATATCCTTTCAGCTTCTGTAGGTCTATGTGATGATCCCCCCTTGTCTCCTGATTTGGGTCATTTGTCGTGTCCTTTTTTCTTGGCCAGTGCAGTTAAAGGAATATCAGCTTTGTTTCTCTCAAAACCACCTGTGGGAGCGGATTCCTCCTGTTTTTCTGTCTCCTTCGCCATTGCCTTTTGCCGTGATTATTGTTGTTTTCTTCCTTCTACTTTGAGTTTGAGAGGGAAGGCTAACATCTTGAAGGGGCTTAGATTATTGATTTTAGATCTTTCCTAAACTTTGATGTGATGTATTTTTGTTTTTATTTACATTAAATAAGCCTGCACAGAAAATAATTTATATTTATTTATTTGTTTATTTTTTATAGCACTTGGGTTTGAACTCAGGGCCTACACCTTGAGCCACTCCACCAGTCCTTTTTTGTGTGGATTTTTTCGAGATAGGGTCTCACAAACTATTTGTTCAGGCTGGCTTCAAAGGGCGATCCTCCTGATCATTGCCTCCTGAGTAGCTAGGATTACAGGTGTGAGTCACTGGCGCCTAATGGGTGTTTTTATTCTTATTTCTTAGCCAGCTGCGTAGCTAGCTTAGTGACCAGCCAGAGATTAGGAAGAGGTTCTGCTCAGGTCCCTGGCTGATGTGTGGAGAGTGTGCCTGAACCTCGGAGGATCTTTGAGGCCCAGAATTTCCTCATGGGTTCTAACTCCCAGCAGATGTACTGCTTGTTCCAAACATGACCTTGGCTGGAGGCTCAGGGGTCTCCTGGATTCCAGGCCCTGGGGCCCTGCCCAGCCTTGTGCACACAGTGCCCTCTGACCAGCTCAGCCATCCACACCTCCGCTTGCTTTGCTGCTGTTGGTGGTTGATTGCGGCAGCTTTGTCCAGTTTTATGCTGTTACCTGGGAAAGAACAGATTTGCCACCTTCTTCATTCTGCCATGGCCAGCAGTTCTGTGCGCTTTGACGTTTTTAATCTCATCTTTTCTTGGGTCAGCCTTCCTGGGAGACCTTCTCTTTGCAGGGCCCTGCCTTGCACTAAGTGTGTAAGTTTAGGGCATGTCTTGAGCCATTTTCTGTTGCTAAAACAAAATACATGAGGCTGGGGCTGGGCATGGTGGTGCACACCTAGAATCCCAGCTGTGCAAGAAGTGGAGAAAGTTAGTGAGTTCCTGTCTCAGAAAATAAGCTGGGCAAGATGGTATGCATGTAATTCCAGTGTCCAGGGAAGTGGAAATAGGAGGATTGACATTGGAGGCCAGCCTAGCAAGAAGGTAGCAATACCCTAAGTTGGCAAGAAAGCAGGCATGGTGTTTCACAACTGTAATCCCAGCTATGTGAGAGGCAGAAGTAGGAGGATGAGAGTCTGAGGCCAGCCCTGAGCAAAAGCAGGCTCAGGCTAGTTGAAAAATAAACTAAAGCAAAAGGGGAGAGGTGATGCTGAATGTGTGGTAAAGTACAAAGGCCCTGAATTCAAACTCAAGTGATGTTAAAAAAAAAAAAAAAAACCAAAAAACTGAGACTGGCACTTTCTAATGAATACATCTTGGCTCAAGGTTCTAGAGGCTGGGAAGTCTAAGACTGCAGCATCCAGTCGAATTCTGGTGAAGGCCTCGTGGAGAGAGGCAGGCGGGCACTTGCACTTTCTAACAGCCTGCCCTCATGACATGAACCATTCTCCTGGGAACCACATCCATCCCTGATCCAAGCACCTGCTAAAGGCCTCACTGTTTTGCCTCCTAGTACCACTGTCTTGGCAGTTAAATATCAAGTTGACGGCTGGAGGGGACAGACTGTCCACACCACAGAGGACGGGTGGGGTGTGGGTCCTGCCTGTCCCAAGCTAGCCACCATGCCCCCTCCTGCCACAAGGAGGGTCTGTTCAAGAACGGTTTCTATAAAATAGAACGGCGAGACTGGGGCTTTCCACTCTCTGCCCTGCCCTCCAGCGACTCTGCCTGCTTCCCAATTGGGCAGCTGGTGGTATTGGAGTTCTTAAGCTCAGGTGCTGCATCCCTGGCTGTGAGAGATGCACAAAAGGCCTGGGGCTTCCACGGGGAGGAAGGCTCTGAGCTCCAGTGCTCACAGCCTGGCCAGCAGAGCCAGCTGTTTCCCCACTTGCAAGGGGCTTCAGTAGGAGCCCCAAAGTTAAAAACACTCACTGCTCATGCAGACTGTGAGCTTTGTGTAGGAACAGTCAACACTTGAAAATGAAAAGTGCCTTTTGTGTATGAAGTAATTTTAAAGTTAAGCATTTTGTGGTAGAAGCATCCAGCACTTGCTGTAATCACAGGCCTCTTAAATGGATACAAGTAACTAAAGGAGATTTTAATGTTTTAAATTTCAAAAACACTATTCAGTCCTGACCATTTCCCAATGACAAATTTCCCTACTGGCTTCAGTAAAGTGGCAGGTTTGGTTTTGTGTTTGTCTATAAGGTTTTGGTTGCAGTTTGTACTATCATGTCCCCCACACTAGGGAGTAGGACACTGACCCATGTGCCATATTGTTGGTTTCAGCAGGGAGGAGAGAGTGATGGCTTTTTTCACCCAGAGGGCCAGCCCCAGCGGCTTCCTCAGCCTCCAGAAGTGAGACAGCAGCCTGCCCGCAAGGTGACGCTGACCAAGGGGGCCCCTCAGCAACCCCAGCACCCATCCATGGGGCCCCACGTGCACTCGGCTATTCCTCCAGGGATCAAAAGCATCCAAGGCATTCACCCAGCCAAGAAGGTACTACCCGCTGTTTCCCTGCCTGCAGCTGGAAATGGGGCCCTATTCCCTACAGGTTAGCTGTTGCCCTACTGAGAAAGAAAGGTTGACCTAAGGTTGCTTCCCTGACTTGCAGTGCCTGGGACCAGGTGGGACTCTTGTTAGTAAGCAAGCCATTGTTTCTTGCTCTTGGATTAGAAACACATTGACATTTTCACCAACACCATTTCCTTCCCCGACTCCAGCAAAGGACCCATAGCTAAGAGTGTATCTGTGGCTTCTACTCTGCAGATAGCTCTGGGTGACCTGTGTTGCCTTCATTTCCACTCAGTGACCCACCAGGGATACCCAGATGCAGAGCTGGGGCTCAGAGAAGGGAGACCAAGACCTGTGGAGATGGAATCATCTGAGGAAGTGGCAGAGCTATAGCTCCTGGCTCTTAATCCTCCCCTGATCCTGGAGAGGGGTGTCTCCCAATCTGAGCTTAGTCTGTCAGGTCAGAAGCTTGGTATCCTTGCCCTGCTCAAGGAAGCCATCTTGGCACATTTCATGCAGAGCAGTGATAAGAGGGTACGTCTTAGCCTCTAATGAGGGGGTTTTGTTTCCCAGGATACCTGACCACAGGGTCCTCCAGGATGACTGACCAGGCAGATAGAGGGCAGCATGACGTGTAGATCATTCTGTGCACAGTCTTATGCACTCTTTTATCAGATGAGAATCAAAAATGACTCCATTCTGTAGCAGAAGATAGATGTGCACATGCTGTTTAAGTGATAGCTCCAATGACAAAGTGCTGTCATCTTTAAAGATCATTCCAAGTGTTCCCATGGTCATATGACAAGGAAGACTTTAGACAAACGTAAACACTTGAGTTTCTCAGTCCTAACTTCACCTACACTCCTGTAACTGAGAATGGTGATGTTTTCTGTTGGGTTTGAGCTATTGTGAGGACTCTATATGATCTTCCATGCAGAAGGTTGGCGTCTGGCATGAGTAAACAGGCACACCAGTGTTGATGTCCAGCCAGGATCCCTTACATCTGTGGCGTGTTGCTGATGTAGAGGAGCTTGCTTCACAGGAATGGCTGGCACCTCCTGCCAGCTGCAGGGATCAGGGGCCTTCTCCAGCTTCCCTCCTGTGGTTCCTGTTCATGCCCTGGGCTTCCTTTCCCATCTCCACTTGACTTTCTCTGCCTTTCCCTGTGAGGACTAAGGAACCATTTTTGCCCCTTTTTACTCAAAGTGTAAGGTAGAGTTAGGGTAGGATGTCTGAAAAGCCTGATGTGCTTCAGTTCCTCTCTGCCTCTGCATTCCCGGCTATCCTGAGCTGGAGAGGCTGGCCCTGTCTCTCTCAAATGGCCTAATCTGAAGAAAATGCTGGAGATGTCAGCAGCTACCTCTTTTTAAAGGCTCCTTAAGCAGTGGTTCTGAGTCCCAGGTGGCTTTTAAAAGTGGTACTTTTGGAGCTCTGCATCTGACCAGTCAGCAGATTGTGTGTGTGTGTGTGTGTGAGAGAGAGAGAGAGTGTGTGTGTGTGTGTATAGCATGCAGCTGCAGCAAGGCTGTTTCAGAGCCGCCTGCCTTGGATGTTTTGAGATCAGCCGAGTTGGACCCCTGAATCTGTAACTTGTGACTACTGGGTGGATTCAGCCCCATGCAGAGAAGGTCCCCAGAGAAACTGCTGCTGCTCCAGAGAAGAGTGGGCTTGGGGCAGTTAGTTACTCTTAGCCAGTGCCTGAGCGCTCATAGGATGATGGCAACTTTCTGAGTCCCTCCAAACGTGGCTGCAGGGCCCTGCAGGTCTCAGGCTTTGTCACCTTCCTCCAGATCCTCACCTAGACTTGCTGGGTGTTGTTGCTCACAGGGTATCTTAATGGATTCTAAGTTACTTGCTTATTTTATATCTTGGTAACTGTGGAAATGACCCAGGCTCAGACATCGGAATGCCTCTTCTTTGTCGTTGACAGGCCATCATGCACGGACGAGGCCGAGGAGTGGCAGGTCCCATGGGCCGGGGGCGCCTAATGCCGAATAAACAGAACCTGCGGGTGGTGGAGTGCAAGCCACAGCCTTGCGTGGTGTCTGTGGAGGGGCTGTCCTCATCCACTACAGATGCCCAGCTGAAGAGCCTGCTGATGTCAGTGGGACCCATCCAGGTGGGTTTCCTGTGGGGTGGCAGTGGCACCACAGTTGGTCATCTCCCCAAAGGAACCCTTTGGTGGCCAATGTGTGTGTTAAAATGGTACTGGAGAAGAAAGATGCATATCTGTTGTGCACACTGGATTCCAGAACTTTGCCTCAGACCTAAGCTGTGCAGATGCTTAATTCTAAATGTTAGGAAAGAAACCCTGCAGCTGAGCAAATTAGAATTCACACGTGCACACATATCTGTACATGTTTTATTTGTGATAATGTCTTAAAAATGTTAAAGTTCTTAGCCTCCTTGTCCTAGTTTCTTGAAACAGAGCTACAAAGCTCAGTTTAGAATTTACAAATGTGACAATAACTTGGACTGTATTTTTAGCTCTTAATTTTAAGATTGGCTAATTCTAGTACTTTAAAAAAAAATCTCTGCAAAGCTGGATATAAGTGAAATAACTGAATATGAAATGAGCACAATTCCTTGTCTGCTGTAAACCAGCCATACAAGTGACCATGTTGAGAGGATGACTGGCCTTGCCTTCATCACACACCCAGCACCACTTGCAGGGATTGTATCTGAGGGCAGAGCATATGAGATACATGTGTAGCAAAAGTTTAGGACATGCAGCAAATGGTACATTTCTGAGTAGTACAAAGCACTCTCTTATTTTACAGCCTCTGACTGGGGCTGAAATAACTATAGTATGTTTCAGACCCCTATCTACTATTGAGAGCCTAAAACTGAGGAGTGTTTAAAACTCTTCCTGTTGCTTAGATTATTTACGTTTAATTATAGCCACCTTCGTTATGGGACTCCTAGAGAGGTAGTTAGATTTAATTTTTATTTGTATTTAGTGCTGAAAACTTAACCCACTTTGTCTCCTACTTTTGAGAACAGGTTCCTAGTGATGCTTTGGGAATGTTCGTCAGCTGTAAGAGTCCTTGTGTTCAAAAATAGATGGTTTTAGTTAGGTGTGGTGGTTCATGACCATAATCCCCAACTACTCCAGAGGAGGAAGCAAGAGGATGGCGAGTTTGAGGCCAGCCTGGGGAACATAGCTAGCCCCTGTCTTAAAACAAACAAAAAACAAAGGTAGTTTCTAAGAAATTGATTGTAATACAGATTAATTTATAGGAGAATTGACAAAAACGGGTTTTGGATGCATTAAAAAGATGTTACTGTGCTTGGAGACTCAAAACAAGTAGTGACTGAAAATTTTTGGTCAAATAACATTTTCTGCTGATTCCAGATTTCAGGGCACTAGGGCCTCGCCCACTGGCTAGGTACCCAGGACCCTTATGCTTCCTGCAAGGGCTGGTGTTTGTTTTGTAGGATTCTCTTGTCTGCTGGACTTGCTGTTGTTTGCTTGTGGTCTGCTGGCTCTGGGGTCTTTGCTCTTCTTGGTCATCTCTGTTACCTGGCAGGCACTGTCTGCTTCTCAGCATTGCATGGGACTCACAGGCCACGTACCAGAGTTAGCCCCACACCATGAAGCCACTTGACCTCTGGCTTATGGTCTTATTAACTGAATTTTGTACTTTGGAGTTATATAGATCTAATGGCCTTTTTTTTTTTTTTTCCAGTTCTGAAAAGAATTAAAGATCATGTTACAAAGTTTGATTGGGGCCACTTAAAATTCCAACAAAAACAGTGTTATCAGTGGTTTTATGAGAGGGATGATCCGAAAATGGGAACGTTTTCTAGGTTAGGTTACCCTTGAATTGAAACAGAAGGTGCCATGTTCATGTTATATGCCACGTTGAAAATTCCTGCAGACCACCAGGCTGAGTGCTGAGCTCTCAGCAAGGTGTTTTCTTCCTACCCCTGAAGCAGAGCACTCTCAGTCTGCCAATTTAAGTGGGAGTGTATAGATTTTTAAGCATATTGTTTACAAAACACTGCATATCTTAATTAAAAGGAAGAATTGATACAACACTGTTCTTCCAGTACTTAGTGGCTAAAGAAGTGCTATTCCCAAGTGTGCATTGGAAGAAACTGGCTTTAAAGGGGGTGATGCTAAGTAGCCAGGGCTTCAGATCACAGGATCTTTCTCTGTGCTTTGGGATATGGCACCACCTAGTGTTCACTCACTTAACCACAGTAATGGTGTTGACCAGAAGGGACTCCTGTTCCTTTGGGCCTTGTAATCATAGAAAATCTAGTGTCTGCATCTTAAACTGTGCTTTTTAAATCTGTGGAGTAAATGAACTTTCCTCAGCATGGGAATGACATTGCAGCCACTGCTGCCTTTAGATTAGTATTTTACTTCCTTACACTATATTCTTAAGCCTCTATAGATCAAGGGAGAATGGCAACACTTTGTAGAAATCACATAACCAAAAGGTGGGCATGTTGTGAATATTGTAGTATGTTCTAGCATTTCAGATGAGAGAGGGTATAGTAGAAAGGGAACTGAGATAACTCAAGAGCACTGTTACCAGTGAGTCAGAAGGCAATTAGAGGAGAAGGGTGAATCAGAGAGCCTGTGACTCTGCCCCACCCTGGCTTGCTCCATCCTCAGAGAGCAGAACCAGGTTGGTCCTTAGGTTGGGAAAGCAGGTTCATTGTAACGTCTGAGGTTTCTTTGCTGAAATATATTTATTATCCTGTTTGCTGGGGTTTGCTTAAAATCGTGTTAAAAAGAAAAAACTGCTTTTACTCTGGTAATAAAACTAGAGAATGAGAGCGAAGTGGCTCCTCACAAACACAGGAAGTGAGTGTGTTTCTATCTCCCCTGTTGTGACTCTCAGGGAGGGGGAGACCAGCACCATGAATGAGCAGTAGTTTAATAATAGCTGGAGTTTCCATCCTACCTCTGTGAACCAGGCACTGCTCTTCCCACTTTCTGTTTTGACTTAGTTATTTCTTCCAGCAGTCCTGTGATGCTAGATTGAAACACTTAGTTCAGGTTTGGCTGTTGCACCAGCACTTTGGAACTCAGCCAGCTAGAGCTTGGGCTTCCTGGTGAGACTGAATCTAGATCCCAGTTTTGCCTTGTCTTTGGGTGTGACATTTGGGCAAAGTACTTCACTTGCCTGAGCCAGGTTTACTGAATCTATAAGAATGAGATAAGCCTCAGGTTTCCACATTGAAGGGGTTAAATAGGCTAGTCTGTGTGGCAGCCATGCATGTGACTCTCACACAGAATGGACACTGAGTGAATGTGTTCTTTCCCTGGGGCCCAGCTACATGCGTGGGAGCTGCAGTTTGCCCAGTGGTAGACTTGGGAGTGACTGCTGACTATAGGCCTAGGGTTCCCTCACTAAGCAGCAGTGCCCATCAGTGTACAGGGGCTGTTTATAAAATTGGTGAGGGCCCCAGTTGAGGGTCACTTACCAGGAAGGGGTGAGAAGAGGAAGTATCTGCCTCCACGGGTCCTCGTACTGGCTCTCTAGGAAGTGTGGGTAGCTGGTGTGACCGGTGGGGGAAGGACTCTGGTAGACACCAGAGTTGGAGGTCAGAAACACGTGACCTCCTCTTAATATCAGACCCCAAACTCTTAAGTTGATACAGGAAAGAGTAGGAAATACTCTGGAGTTAGTAGGTATAGGTAAGAACTTTCTCAATGAAATCCCAGCAGCACAGCAACTAAGAGATAGCATAGATAAATGGGACCTCATAAAACTAAAAAGCTTCTGTTCATCAAAAGAAATGGTCTCTAAACTGAAGAGAACACCCACAGAGTGGGAGAAAATATTTGCTAGCTACACATCAGACAAAGGACTGATAACCAGAATATACAGGGAACTTAAAAAACTAAATTCTCCCAAAACTAATGAACCAATAAAGAAATGGGCAAGTGAACTAAACAGAACTTTCTCAAAAGAAGAAATTCAAATGGCCAAAAAACACATGAAAAAATGCTCACCATCTCTAGCAATAAAGGAAATGCAAATTAAAACCACACTAAGATTCCACCTCACCCCTGTTAGAATAGCCATCATCAGCAACACCACCAACAACAGGTGTTGGCGAGGATGCGGGGGAAAAAGGAACCCTCTTACACTGTTGGTGGGAATGTAGACTAGTACAACCACTCTGGAAAAAAATTTGGAGGCTACTTAAAAAGCTGGCCATCGATCTACCATTTGATCCAGCAATACCCCTCTTGGGGATATACCCAAAAGACTGTGACACAGGTTACTCCAGAGGCACCTGCACACCCATGTTTATTGCGGCACTATTCACAATAGCCAAGTTATGGAAACAGCCAAGATGTCCCACCACTGTCGAATGGATTAAGAAAATGTGGTATCTATACACAATGGAATTCTATGCAGCCATGAAGAAGAACAAACTGTTAATCATTCGCTGGTAAATGGATGGAATTGGAGAACATCATTCTGAGTGAGGTTAGCCTGGCCCAAAAGACCAAAAATCATATGCTCTCCTTCATATGTGGACATTAGATCAAGGGCAAACACAACAATGGGATTGGATTTTGAGCACATGATAAAAGCGAGAGCACGCAAGGGAGGGGTGAGGATAGGTAAGACACCTAAAAAACTAGCTAGCATTTGTTGCCCTTAACGCAGAGAAACTAAAGCAGATACCTTAAAGCAACTGAGGCCAATAGGAAAAGGGGACCAGGAACTAGAGAAAAGGTGAGATCAAAAAGAATTAACCTAGAAGGTAACACCCACGCACAGGAAATCAATGTGAGTCAATGTCCTGTATATCTATCCTTATCTCAACCAGCAAAAACACTTGTTCCTTCCTATTATTGCTTATACTCTCTCTACAACAAAATTAGAAATAAGGGCAAAATAGTTTCTGCTGGGTATTGCGGGGGGTAGAGGGAAGGGGCGGAGTGGGTGGTAAGGGAGGGGGTGGGGGCAGGGGGGAGAAATGAACCAAGCCTTGTATGCACATATGAATAATAAAAGAAAAATGAAAAAATAAAAAAAGAAACACGTGACAGCAAAAGTAGCACTACTGTGGATGGCGTGCCTTTCCTGACAGGTGAGCAGAGTCCCAAGGAGACATGGTGTGTCTCCATGGCTCTTATAGCTCAGGCTGGCCACTCACTGAGTGATTTGCCTATTGCTGGTTTTGTGACATGCAACTTTGTGCTCACTCTATAGAGTTTGATTTTTCATAGGACAAAGAAGTTCTTTTTCTTCTTAACATAGCCTGAACTCCAGTTTTGTATTGTAGCTCTTAACTTATGAGCCTTTGCATTTTATATTGCAGTGTGATGTTTAAATGTTCCTGTTTTCTTCCTCTAGAGTTTACAAATGCTTCCTCAGCAGCGGAAAGCCATAGCAAAGTTCAAGGAACCAGCCCACGCGCTAGCATTTCAGCAGAAATTCCACAGGTAGCCCATGTGTCCTCCAGTGGTGGGAAGAGGGAAGCTCAGTTGCTGCCTGCTGCAATAGGGTGTGGCAGGAACGTGGACCAAGAGCAGACAGCCTGTCTCCTTAAAAGGCAGTGCACCCTGTTGTGGCCTGGAGAAGCCCTGTTCTTCTAGATCTCCTACTTAGGCCTCTGTGGCTTTAGGTTTTTTGTTGTTGTTGTTGTTTTGTGGGTCTGGGGTTTGAACTCAGGGCTTTGTGCTTACAAAGCAGATGTTCTACTGCTTTAGCCACGCCTCCAGTCCTCCTCTGTGGCTTTAGATAAGAGGGTCTCATTCATTCTGTCACTTCTGCCCTCCCTGGTGAATTGACTGTTGCTTTGTGCAGTTGGCATTGATGTCTGTTTAAATCCTCACAGGCACATGATCGACTTGTCCCACATAAATGTGGCCCTGATCGTGGAGTGATTTCCATGTTCCACAGGAGAGTTTGACCTCACACTGTACACACTGTGGAATTTCTTCAAGGAAGCTGCTGGCTGGCCGGCGCAGGATCCCCAGGAGCACAGGTCTCTCCACTCCACAGTCTGCCAACTGTTGTCCAGAGTGCCAGCTGGCCACAGGGGGATTTCAGAAGAGCTAAACTGACAGGACGTGAGCGGAGTCTGGTGTCAGATTGCTTCCAATTCTGTTGTCTACAGAGCTCCAGTGTCCTTTCCTTTTGTTTGCAAGTGCTCACAATGCATGTAGACCTTGTTCTTCGTGATCCTCTGTATGATCGGTCGGTCACAGTGACTTAGATTCAGGAAAGAACATCACCGGCATAAATTCTAAGTAGTTTCCACAGCAAAGAATACTTGATAATGGTTGCACTTATCTTCAGTGCAGGCTAGAAAAGAGCGTTCTCAACCATCCTTGACTGGAGTTGTCTCCTCAGAAAGCCCTCAAAGGCTCTGGTGAAAACATAGGGTAAAATTTGGGTGATTGTCAATTGACACGTGCACACCCTGGAAAAGCCAGGATGTGAGCGGGTAGCGGGTGGTTGGGAATAGTGCCGTGGAAGTGGCAATTCTGCTTCTTGTGAATATCTCTAAAGCGCCAGCTGTGCATTCCTGGTTCCCAGGTGAACTCCCACCTGTTTACCCTCTCCCAGACAGGCAAGTGCTGGCTGGGCACAGGGTTTTCCGCAGCCCAGGGTGAGCAGCTCTGAGACCTCACAGGCGGCCCTCTGACCTAATTGCCTGCCACATGAAGTTGAGGCAAAGCTTGAAGAGCATCAGACCTGTTTGGGTTTTTCTTCTTTTTTAATTGCAGCCCCAGGTGGCATGTTTGTGTCACTGGTTCTGTGACATACACTGTCGGTGCTTTGATTACCTTCGTTTTGGAGGGCTTTTGAGAACATGCCATTTTCCACGCAAATGGTAGAGACATGCCGGTCTCACAGGACACTGTCATCCAGGATAAGTGTGTCTGTCCTCCTGTAGTCATTCTGGTAGGATCCTTCAGGTCAGACATGCTGTCCACGTGCTAGGTGAACAGTGCCTTACTGTGTTTCTGCCCACGAGAGAAATAGAGTGTCAGTGTTTGGGACAGATTCTAAAATGCGCAAATGACCCAGGACTAACTCAGACTTCTTAGCTGTACTTTAGACCTGTGATTTCATGTCACATTTACTATAGTAAGACTGAGGGAGATAGAAGCCTGTTCTCACTTCTTAATTCTGGTTAACCCAGCGAGGACTAGTGTGAGCCTTGAAGCTCTTTGGAGCCACCTGTAGGAGCTAAGCAGATGGGCACCGAACATGTAGTGGCTGTTTTCCACAGCCCAAGTTATATGTTATGCTTTCAAATTCAGTTACCAATATTAAGAGCTAGAGAGGAATATTCGGGGCCCTGTGAGACTTGGCGTAGCATCGATTCTGAGATGACCTCAAGTCCTACAGGGAATGCTGGGAAATTTGGATGGTTGTTTGGATTCCAGGAAAGAGCAGCACTTACAGGATGTCATAGAAAACCTGCTGCTGTGGTGCCACCTCAGTCCTGGAAGTTCTGACTTTTAGCAGGCACCAGTCCATCCATGTGCTGTCAGCTGGTCAGTAGTTTGACACAGGTGTGTTAATATGTTAAAAGGTAGATTATTTGGCTCAGTCCACAGAGAACTTCATTGAGTTGATGAGTTGATGAGTTTGGTGGCCAAAGGCTCTAGTTAAAGGAGATCTGGACCCCTCAGGGCCCACTGGGCTGCGAGAAGGCTTACCACCCAAGTCTTAGGATACAGTCAAATGAGGTTAGCAAGCTTTACCAATTTCTCTTAGTTTGATATTATGTTTTTACGACTCTGAGGCTGCTTTTGTCTCTGGAAAGTCAGCACTGAAGCGTTGAAGGTAGAGTTAACAAAACAAATTGTTTTGGGGCACTGCTGTACAAGACAGGCTTTGGAGTTACTCTCATGGCTGCTCTTGGCCTTTTCTGAATGTGATGCGGTACCCAGGAGCATGTGTGCATCTAACTGCACACATGGGTGGGCAAGTGAGCTTTCTCTTACTGTGTGTCCTGAGAGGCCATTAGCAAAGTCAGCTGGCCTTGCACAAAGCACCGATTAGCACCACCAGGCACAGTCCAGCCTCTCAGTGCACACACCACCAGTAGTGGGCTCTCCATGTCAGGCAGGCGAGGGCTAAGGCTTAGTTTCCTTGAAGGAAAGAAGCAGAATTAGAAAGTAACGTTATTTTCACTTTTGGTGCACTTCTCACAGTGAAGTCAGACCATGCACCTGGACTCTGATGGAAGATCTGCTGCAACCATTATCTTTGTTCTTTATTTATCATGCATTTAAAATGAGATGCAGAAGCATTAGCATACTGTGTAAATATGGACCTTTTAAAATTAAAACGTTATTGGAGATGCTTTCAACTCAGCAACGTCTTAACTATTTGTTAGTTCTTTTGTGTTGTCTTATCAAAGTTTAATGGAGATACTTCCATAATTGTTGATGTGTTTGTGTACATTGGATTTTTATAAAGATGGTAGTAAGTAATACATTTATCCTCATCTGTGTATTATTTGTTCCCAAATTCAAGAAGCTTAAAGCAGTAAATATGGATATATCATACAAGGTGGATCAGTAGGTGATGGTGTGGAGCTAAGTTACTTCTTTTTGCATTGTTTATTTTGTGCTGTAATGTAAGTTCACTTAGCTGCTTACCTGAACATAACCTTGCAGTACCCCTGGCCTGGCCACACTTGTGAAATCCTTATATCGATACTTTTCTTGAGGATAAACCTCAGCTCTTCTTCCTGAAAAGAAACTCTGAGGTGCCCTCATCCTGGACAGGCAGCTTCCTGCTTAGGTCCTGTACCCAGCCCCACTGTGGAAAAGGGGGGATGGACTGGAGTGGGAGTGGGAGGTGGTTTTGCCATAACCGTTTTTAATCCTGGTAGCTCTTAGTGGGATGTGTAAGGGTCCTGGGCAGTTGCCTGAGTTGCTTCAGGAGCATTTCTAAATTGTGACAAAGACTAGGCCCTGCACCCAGGGAGGGGCCTTTGCTTTCACAGCCTCTGCCTGATGCTGCAGACAGAGGCAGGGGAGGGAGGAACGGCAGGCTGGTGAGTGGGGGAGTCTTGTAGGATGGGATGTCTGTGACGCACATCTCTGACTGGGACTCCAGGGGTAGTCCTGCAGTCAGGCCCAGAGCTCCAGGCAGACAGGCTGTGGGTGGCACCCTTAGAAGAGGGCCGCTATGCTGGGCTGGTGCTGGCTCTCCACTTGAGAGGGCTAGGTAAAGGGCCTTTCTCAAAGGATTGGGCTTAGGCACCTACCACTTTTTCTTTTGTCTTTTGCTTTTTGTTTGTTTGTTTGTTTTTCTGTTTGTTTTGCCATTTGTTTCTCTGGTTTTATTGGGAAGGTAAGCTGAATGTACTCCTAGACCATTGGACTGACACTAGTTGAAGGCAGGTCTTAGTGACTCAGTTGCATAGTTCAAAGTCTGTGTGGTGGCTGATATTGTTCTTGATCATTCTTGGCCTCTGTTTGTCCTCTTGCTGTTGACAATGCCTAGCAGTCAGCTAGCACATCTTAGTGCTGTCCCTCTGGGGCCCATGCTGGATGTCTGTGCTTTGTCATTTTACTGATGCCCTTCCTGGGAATCAGCTGTGTTTCCTTCCCTCCCCACTTGTAGGGCTGAGTTCTGGCTTCACAGACTTTAATTTTGACTCCCCTATAGTAAGCTGCAGCCTTCCTTGCCTTTGTGTTTATTTGGAGAGAGAGAGAGAAGAAGGGTGGGAACTTGAAAGGTATTGTTGGTCCCATAAGAAACTTGGTCAGGTGTGCTGAGAGGGAATTATCTGATGGAGTGTGTAGTATAGAAGGGACCAACACCCCTCCCCACAAAGGAAGCTACAGAAACTTAGACCAGTAGCAGGGCAACTTTAGATACTTCACTGTTTTTAGTGAGCTTTTCATTTGATGTTTAAACTATTTTCAGAGTTGTGAATCAAGTGTTATTTTGACATTTTTAAATATGAACTCTCCAAAGGCATTTGGCCTTGATTTATTATTAAATCCTAAGGATTTTATGTAAGGTTTTTTTGCAACCTAGTTTTTATCTTTTAAAATGGCTAACTAGTAGGTACATGAGCCCATGGTCTTGTGTACTGGAACCAAAGCAACCCACTGATTCATATTGGATCCCCAGGTATACCTCCTGCTGGTAACATGTAGTTGGCAAGGGACTTTGTTTACACAGTCACCTGCCTTTTCTAGAAACTGTGCTAACCTCACCCTCCAACATGTGTTGGTTTTAATCTTTTAAGCAAGGTGGGCAAATAGAACAGGTGCTATTAGCAAGAAAGTTCTCAAGTACTTGTTTTTTCCTTTTCCTTCTAACCAATGAAAGCAGAAAGGTTTTATGTCAGTGTTCTCTTTGGTTGCACTTCATAGTAAATTTCAAAAGGTTTGTAGAAAAATGCAGGTCCTGTAGAAAGATGCATCGTGTAGCTTTTTATTTAATGTGTCCCGCAGATGAGACAAGCAGACAGGTGTAGTGTTAATGCATTCTGGGTTTGACAATTTAGTATGCTTTAGAAAGCAGAGCTCTTGGCATTTTTATGTGGTTTTCTGCTAAACTACTTTTCATTTTAAGGGCACACACAGTGGAAGCTGACTTTTAAAGGGAATATATAACATTTAAACAACACACTGCACATAGCACATGCTGGCGTTGGTGGCCGAGGAGGGGATAACCACTGGTTTTCATAATCAGCTTTGCTTTTCACAGGCTTGGGATCCAGAACACTTCCTCTGCGAGGATTTAACTGTTTGGTTTTAATTCCACTGTTTGATTTTCAGGTACAGCAACAACAAAGTCAGACTTCATTTCCTTTCATCTTTGAGCTGATTTTCTTCTCATCACTGTTCTTCTGTCACGAGGCCAAGTCACCACTGAGCTCGAGTTCCCACCTTCTCTGCTCCTCTGTCCTGGCGGAGGCTCTCTCTGTCTTCTCACTTAACAGCTCCTTTCCCATCTGAGCTTCTGACTCTGTGTCCCTGTCCCCACCCCCACTCTTGCCTGCTCTTACCTCCTCCACTTCTGGTGCTTCCATACACTGCACTGCCATCCCAGCCCTCCTTCTTGCTTCGGCCCAGCCTTGTGGTGGTGGGGAATGCTGTCTGTCTCTGCACCTCTAAACCTTTGCTTTGGCAGGTCTCTTCTTGTTTTCTCCTCCAGGTCTTTGAAGAGAATAACATTTGCTTCTGTTCTTTCCAGTTTGGCTCTGTAGGGTGTGTGGCGACCCACGGATGCCGGCGTCCTGCACCATGTGGTTTGGCGTCATTAACCCCCTGCTTTTGTTTTTATCCCTCTACCTTTGCAGGACCGGGGCATGGGTCAGTGTTAGTGGTAGCGTGCTCTCGTTCTGCTTGGAAGTGGTGGCCATGTGGCCATTGTGCTGCTCTTGCTGACTGTGATCCTAGTCACCTAATGTGTGTGCGTCTCCCTGCTGTGGCCCGGCAGTTCGGAGGCCGACTGGGGCGCCGTGTTGACTAGGAGCGCACTGACCGGTTAAAAACCAAGAGACGGCCACCTTGCTTTCCTCTGGGCTCCATCTCCTCGTGGTCCCGCCAGTTGCATTCCACTTTCCTTTGTGGGCATGAGATGGCTGTGTTTTGCCCCATTGTCACTTTATGTTAACCACTTTTGGATTTTTTCAGAAATGTGTATGTGAAGAATAATAGTGACATAGGTGAAAAGAAAATGTATTGATGTATCGTCTGTATGATTTCATATGAAAACTGTGCTTAAACTGTACTGTAATTTGGAAAGTGTCAATAAAATATGTTTTCACTCTGCCTTTTCTTTTGGGTCTGTCGTGGCACATTCGCTTTGTGTACTGCTGACCCCGCAACAGGACAGTGGTGTGGGCTGATAAGTGGAGCCATGTGAGGCTCGAGTTAACCACCTGTCTTGTCTGCATGCCATGGGTCACAGGACCTGAAAAAAGTTTAAAAACATTTGCATATCATTTTTGCAATTTGAAAATATATGTCTAATACTATATAAAAGAGACCAAAGACAGAAAAAAACAGTCCCTGCCCTCCTTCCGCCCAGGCTTCCACTCTTGTTTATGCAGATTGTATGTGGTTTGCGATCACAGTTGCCACTTCCTGTTTATTGGGGTCATAAATATTTTTCTTTTCACTGTAAATTGCTCATAATCCATGGCCTATTTTGAAAATAAAGTATTTAAAAAAATAAAGCAGCTCTGCTTCCAGGAAGCTTCCAAGGAGATGACCCAGATGTGCAGTGTTCAGGCCTTGCACCCAGCTAGCTGAGCCTGGTCCTGGTGGGTTCTGTCTCTGCTGTTCCTGTTCCTGCAGTAGCACACTTCCGTTTTGTCCCTTGACAGACAGGGAAGCTGTGTGGTTTACCTGACTGGGGACTTCAGTGGTCTTCCTAGTGTAAGTGCGCAGGCCGGTGGCTGCAAGTGACAGAAGTACAGATGGGGGCAAAGCAGCACCCTTTCTGGTCATGCCTGTTGTCCAGGTGGCGTTGAGTGTTGACAGCCAATGAGAGGGAAGCAGGGAAGCCTGTTCACCAACACGTCCCACACGTTTGCTTTGTAGGTTACTCTGTCCTTTGTGCTGTGTGGGCAGTGGACCTGTTTTGAAAGTATTTCACCTCTGCACAGCTCATGTTTCCATTCTAGCAACACCAACCAAAGGGGATGGATCACACAGTACCTTCCCACAGCAGGAGTCATTGATGTCTGCTCACGGGTACCCACAGTTGAGAAGCACAGGTGTGTGAAGACCCACCGGGCTCAGTGGGGAGCCTGGGCATTTTCACCTCAATGTCCAGGCATGCCTTGCCCTTAAAGTTGAACACTTGCTCCCCAGTTTCCATGTCTGAAAAATGTTACCTTATTTTATTCTTCTCTTACAGTGCAGAACTCCTTTGTAACAGTCAAGTAATACTTAATAAAATCACATTAAAATCCCGGCTCTTAGAAAATCAGTAAAATAAGCTAAGAAAAGCAGAGAAAACGCAAAAAAAGTAAGAAAAGGATACACAAATAAGTGCAAGGGGGAAATTACCAATAAGAAGGACTTCCATATTGTAGTAAAATATAAACAAGCTTTATAGCTTGGTCACTGGAGTACACAGTTCTCTGTGGTATTCAGCACTCAAGGACACACACAGGCTGAGCTACAAAGAGATACTCCATTAAAATGGTAACCAGAAGAAAGCAGACCCAACAGCCTTTTAGACAAAATCTATCACTAGGTAAAAAGCAATAAAATGATAAAGCAATTCATCAAGAAGAGGTTATCTCTTGTGAATATATATGCACCCAACATTGGAGCACCTAAATATAATAAGCAGATGCAAAACAAAAGGGAAATAGCAATACAGTAACAGTAGAAGATTTTAATATCCCACTTTTGACCATGGGTATATCATCCAGACAAAACCAAAAGGGTAACACGAGTAACACTGTAGGCAAATGAACTCAACAGATGTGCAAGGTACAATTCACCCAAAAGCAGCAGAATACGCATTCTGCTAAATACACTCCAAACTTTCTCCAGGATAAACCAAAAGAAGTCAACAAATTAATATTGAAATCATATCAAATACCTTTCCTGACTACAATGGTAAGAATTTAAAAGTAAGGAGGAAAATTGAAATTGCTCACAAATAGGTGAAAATTAACACTCGAACATTCAATGTATCAAAGAAGAAATAATTCAGAAAAGTATCTGAGACTAAATAAAAGGAAACAGCACACCACAACTCATGAGATGCAGCAAAGGCAGTTCTACAGGGGGAGTTGACAGAAAATGCCAACATTAGGGGAGAAAAAGATCCCAAATGAACAACCACGGCACAGCTCAAGGAAGTAGAAAAGAAGAGCAAAGTAAGGCCACAGCCAACAGAAGGAAGAAAAAGATCAGAGCAGAAATAGATTAAAATAGAGACGACAACTGAAAAGATCAATAAAACTAAGAGTTGTCTCTGAAGAAAATAGAATTGACAGAGGAAAATAAGGGAAAGGACTCATAAATTATAGAGGAGACATTACAACTGATACCACAGAAAGAGAATCCTAACAGACTACCATGAAGAGTTGAACGCCAACACACCTGGTAAACTCGAAGAAATGGGTAAATTCCTAGAATAGACAGGAAGAATTGAATCACGAAGAAATAGGAATATGAGTGATCGATAGCAAATGAGGAGGTCAAATTGGTAACACACCAGGCAAAACCCCAGGACCAGATTTAGTACGAGAATTAACCAACCTCAAGCCTCCCCCAAAAAATAAAGGTGAGGGAACACGTCAGAGTTCTTTTTACAACCCAGCATTACTCAGACAGGATGCTCCCCACCCCCTGCCCCCAAAATTAAAAGTACAGACTAGATACAGAATAAGCATAGACAAATCCTCAATAAAATACTAGCAAACCAAATCCAACAGCACATTAAAAAGATCATACACCATGACCAAGTGGGATTCATCCCTGGCAAGTATACATAAATCAATAAATGTACAAAATATTCACAGAACAATAGAATGATCATCATACTGGGTATGGTGTTACACACCTGTAATCCCAGTATTCTGGAGGCAGAGGCAGGATGATCACAAGTTTGAAGCTAGATTAGGCTACATAGCAAGATGGTCACACACACACAAAAATGAGCATGGTGGTTCAAGACAATTCTTGCTACTTGGGAGGCAGAAATCATGGCATGGTGGCAAATGCCTGTCATCTCCAGCTATTTGGGGAAGCACAAATAGGAGGATTGCTGTCCAGGCTGGCCTGGGTATGAAGTGAGACCCTATCTCAAAAACAACCAACACCAAAAAGTAATAATAAAAAATTATAATTGCTGGGCACTGATGGTTCATGCCTCTATTCCAGCTACTTGAGAGGATGGTGGTTTGAGGTCAGCCTAGGCAAAAACTTTGTGATACCCCGTCTCAACCTATAGCTGATACAATGGAACGCACCTGTCTTCCCAGTGAAGGTGGGAAGCATAAAATAGGAGGTGTGTGATCCACGTGGATCTACGCAAAAATCGAGGCCTATCTCCAAAATAACTAGAGCAAAAAGGACTGGACATATGACCGAAATGGTAGAGCATCTGCTTCAGAAGTGCAAAGTCCTGAGTTCAAAACCCAGTTCCATCAATCATCACAATAGTCATGAACTCAATAGAGATTATAGTGCATCTATAAACCTTTGATAAAATCCCTTCAGTGATAAAAATGCTTAACAAGTTATGTGCAGAAGGTGTGTACCAGTACAAGGAAGGCCATTATTACAGGCCCTTAGAGAATGCTGCACTCAATGGCGGAAGTCTGAAAGCTTTTCCTCTCTGGTCAGGAACAAGATAACTCTCACCACTTCCATTCAACATACACCCGAAGTCCTAGCCCGAGCAAGTAGACAAGAAAAAGAAAAGTCTTCCAAATTGGAAAGAATAAAATTGTTTCTGCAGAAGACATGATCTTATATGTAGAAAACCCTAAAGACTACCAAAAACACTCAGGACTCATAAACAAATTCAGTGTTAGTTGCACATCTATAAACTAACATGAAACTGTCTGAAAAAGCAATTGAAAACCAATTCCATTTATAACAGTATCATAAAGAATAAAACAGGAATAAGTAATACCGAGGAGGTGAAACAACTGAGCACCAAACAGAACGGTGGCTCATGCCTGAGTCCTAACTACTCAGGAGGCAGAGATGAGGAGGATCGCAGTTTGAAGCCAGCCCTGGGCAATTAATTCTGCAAGACCCTGTCTCGAAAATAGGGCTGGTGGAGTGGCTCAAGTTGTAGGCCCTGAGTCAAGCCCTATTACCACAAAAAAAAAAAAAAAAAACTGCACTAAAGACTATAAAATATCCATGAAGGAAATGGAAAAGGGCATAATAAATGGAAAATAATCCTGAGCTCATGCCCTGGAAGGGTTTTTGTGCAGACTGTCCAAAATGGCCTGCTGATTCAATGCAGACCTATCAAAATCCCAATGGCATTTGTCACTGAAATAGAAAAAAATGCTTAAAATTCCCATAGAACCACAAAGGTCCATGAATAACCAAAGCAATCTGGATAAGGAAAGAGGCTTGTCCCTCCCAAGCCTCATGAGATGGGTAAGCTCTATGTCACCAAAAGTGACCACAGCAGCTGGCTGGACCCCACCCCTCTGTCCACTGTCTCTTGATGTCTGGAGCCTTCCCCACCACTGACCGTGGGTCAGCCTTGGCACATACATGCTGTCAGCAGCTTAATCTTACTCTCCCTAGCCTCCTGGGCCTTGAGCAATTATTCCCTGGCACTTACTGAAAGCCAGGAGGGAAGACTTCACTCCGGCCCATCGTGGCAGGTACAGGGGCCACCATGGGGTCTTTCGGATGGGGAGAGTGATGAACCCAAGTTCAAGCAGAGCACGGGCAAGTGGGGTTACGGTGACCGAGCAGGGCAGGATCAGCGGATGGAAAACTAAGAGGAAGTGCAGGGACTCTGGATAAAGTGACCTACGAGGATTCTTGCTGAAGACTGCCAGGTGACCAGCATCACTGAGCACTGGAGGATGAGGATCTCCATCACATACGGGGTGATCAGGTATGGAGGGGGGAAGGTTCTGGCTACACTGACTTAGCAGGGCTCTTGGCTAAAACTGGACTTTCCCGGGAAGTGCACAGATGGGCCCTGGAGAGGGACAGAGTCCCTCTGTTTGGCCAGAGAATTCTTGTCGGACCAAACTGCATGATTTTCTTGAAACAATGGACGCAAAGCCTGCAATAAGAGCTGTAATTATAGGGCGGAGTTCTTGCCCGCTGTGTGCCTTCTTGGTCCGGCCAGCCCCTGAGGCTACCCTGTCCCCTGTGTTACCTGAGCCAAATGCAGCACGCTGTATTGTCCTGTTACCAATTGGCTGCCTGGGGATGCTTCTGCGCTACATGGATTGGAATCATGGGTAGCCAAGGAGAGATTCTTACAGTGCTGGTAATCTCAGACCCTTGGCAGGTTTTGTAGTCCTATCTTGGGCTTTCGTAGCCATGAGCAGCGGCCACCAATAGCAGCAAGAAGTAACAGGTGATGCCTTCTAGTGTTACAGCTGTCTTATGGGCCTTGGGTCCTGTGCTGGGACTCTAAGCCCAGTCACTTGTCTAAGTGACACGTGTTCTAGCTCTCAGGCCTAGGATGTTGGGATCCTCGACTCTTACGGCTTAACAGCTTTCTGGAACTCTCTGGCAACCAGGGCATGGTTTCTCATCCCCAGGTCTTGTCTTCCTTCAGCCTCAATTGTCTGTACTCTCCTGCCTTCTCCCGACTCCTGCTGCCCCTCATTGCCTTTGCTGATTCTGCTCTCCGTTGTTTTTGTCTTGGCTACTTTCTGGTATTCTTCAGTTGCCTTTCACTAGTGCCACCCTCACCACTGCCACTGTTAAAGCACACTGCTATTGCCTCTGCCACTGCTGCCACCATCCCCTTCGCCTTTCTCTGTGTTTAGCCCCCTCTGCCACAGATGAAGATGAAAAGTAGGTAAGGAGAGAGCTCTCAAGAGAAGTCTTTACTCAGCCTAGTGCTACAGCACCAGGAGGCAGCATGAGAGGGTGTCCTGGCTGCCTCACAAAGGAGCTCAACAGCCTGCTTATGTAGCCAGAAAGGAGGTGTGGCAAAGATGCCTCCCGCTGCTATGCCAGCTCCTTCATGCAAAGAAAGGACTGTTTTTGCAACAATCCTGGCACAAGCCCCCGTGCAAATAAAGTACTGTGTTTGTACCAGTCACAGGCCTTCTGCTGGGCCACCAGGGGAAGTGCTCCCACTCTGGCCTGGGTGGAAATGGTTGCAGGGTCATGTAGAGCTCACCCAGGCTTGAGATGGCAAAAGTCCAGTACAAGCCCTGTGCTGGGAGAGTGCCTTCAGCATCACTGGTGTGTTTCAGCAGCTGTGTTTGTCAGGTAGCTTCCTCAAGGTGTCTGTGGACTGTTCAAAGTGGCCATCATTGGCAGAGGGCAGGAGGGCAGTCCTTTCCTCAAAGCAGCCAGGGTGCAGAGAAGGGCCTGACAGCAGTCAATTAGGAAGTCAAATCTTTCCAGCCCACAACATCTTAGCTTATTTAAAGGGAAAATAAACCTTAAAAGGGGTGCTTACGCTGAGCCTGTCATTAACGTTAGCAGTGATCTAAGTGCTC